CATTCATCATATTAATTCACGATACTAACCAAGATAACCAATTGGACATCCATTGTTTTTTATCATTCATCATATTAATTCACGATACAAACCAAGATAACCAATTGGACATCCATTGTTTTTTATTATTCATCATATTAATTCACGATACAAACCAAGATAACCAATTGGACATCCATTGTTTTTTATCATTCATCATAGTAATTCACGATACAAACCAAGATAACCAATTGGACATCCATTGTTTTTATCATTCATCATATTAGTTCTTAATATGATGAATGATAAAAAACAATGGATGTCCAATTGGTTATCTTGGTTTGTATCGTTGTCCAATTGGTTATCTTGGTTAGTATCGTGAATCCATTTTTTTATCATTCATCATATTAGTTCACGATGCAAACCAAGATAACCTATTGGACATCCATTGTTTTTATCATTCATCATATTAGTTCATGATACAAACCAAGATAACCAATTGGACATCTATCGATGATCCAGTATCAATCAATACATTTAGATAGTTAATAACATTTTTTATTTCCATCTATTCCAGACATTTGGCTGCCTTAACCGTATCTTTTGTATTTTTGTTTGGATGTTCGGGAGAAGAAGTTGGCCCCGACATCGGGTTATCTAACCTTTCCAAGATAGTGAATCGGATTGGTTTTCAACTGTACCCACAAATTGCAGGAAATGAAAATGTTTTCTTCTCTCCTTTAAGCTTGTCAATTCTTTTTGGAATGTTATACCTGGGATCCATAGGTCCTCAATCCCAGCTCATTGGGAAGAAACTTGGATTCGAAGGGACCGATTTTGGAGGAAGAGACATTCACGAAACATTTAAGGAATTAGATCTTTTTCTGGCTGACAACAGCCTTGACATAGCCAACGGTCTTTTTGCACAAAAAGGACTGGAGATTCTTGAGTCATATAAGACTAATTTTGCCCGCCATTATGGTGGAAAGTCAGAGGAAGTGGATTTCTCTGGTCACTTGGTCGAAGCTACAAATTACATTAATCAGTGGGTAAGTAAAAAGACGAGAAACAAGATCACCGAACTTTTCTCGGGCAATGATTTAGGTGGGGCAATAATGGTGGTGTTAAATGCTATTTATTTCAAAGAAAACTGGGCTTCTAAATTCAAGCTGACCGACACAAATCCGGCCACATTCACTAACCAAAACGGAAAGAAAGTCACTGTTCCGTTGATGACACAGAAAAATTATTTTTTGTATGGGTTTAATTCCGAACTTAAGGTTCACGTGGTGGACATGCTTTACGCCGGAAATAACACTGGCATGTTACTAGTACTTCCGGAAGAAAATGGCGACCTTTCCTCTGTGGAGAGACAACTAAATCCGGAACTGCTTGACCATCTGGCTGGAGAATTGAAAAGCACCGTCATTCACCTGTCACTTCCACGATTTGAGTTAAGTTTGAAGTATGAAAGCCCCAAACTCAACGGAGCGCTGAACGCGATTGGTCTTGGCGGGTTTTTCTCGTTAGACTACTCAGGAATCAGCAAAGAAAATCCAACGCTCACCGACATTGTCCACGAAGCTGTTGTTGAAGTGAACGAAGAAGGGACAGAGGCTGCAGCGGTTTCTGGCGCTGTTCTCCGTTCGCTAAAGATAGTTACAGCGAATCGTCCTTTCCTTTTCTTTATCAGGGACAGACGAACAGGACTGGTTATGTTCATGGGCCGAGTTAACAACATGTCTCCAGCCTAAGACTACTCCGGTCCGACGTGATTATCGTAATATTCTGTACGTTTCGCAGTTTAACTAATTTCATCTTTTGGTTATTATTCAGCTGAGGGGAAGCTACAAATAATGGTTGTATTTCTACAATGAACTTCCTTTCTTAATCATGATAATTTGCCTCTTACGTCACCAATAAAATATATTTCTGTGCTTTAGATCGGTTATTAAGTAGTTCAGCGGTAAGTCTAACAATAGAGTTTAGATACCGCTGGTGGCCACAGAACAGATAGCCCATTGTATAGGTTTATGTTTTACAACAAACAAATAAATTGAGTGGTAGTCGTTTCGGAGTCGACCATTAATGCTTTAGGCTAATCATAGCGTTTGTTTCATTTTTTGCTTTTTTGGTATAAAGCTACAAATAGGCTGTCTGTGCTCTGTCTACCACAGGAATCAAACCTCGGAGGTTAGTGTTGGAGTCCATAAAAGTCTAATTTTTATTTTTTGTGAAAAATGGTCCTATCCCTATTCAAATTGGTTGAATTTAAAATGTAATACATCTAGTACAAACAATACATCTAAGAAAACACAATTAATAGGTATGTGTAATAATTACAAGGAATTATGAGATTGAAACTTGACACGAGCATAGAGATTCTTTTAATGTGTGGTAAGCAATAAACGGGAAAGAAATAAACTTTCTAGTTTATATTAGTATTTAGTTTATATTTTTATCAATAGATGGCACTAAGTTTGTTTTGTTTTTTTCCCTAAATTGCAACACAGCAAGGTACGTTTACGGTAAATCTGGCGCTAAAATTGATTTCTCATTTAATTAAATTATGCTAAAATTACAAGACTGTATTCAGATTCAGTACAGAGGAATGAGAAATGTCTTGGAGTGTGTTTTGTTATAGCAAAATCACATCGGGATATCAGCTGGAATCTAACCCCTGATTTTAGCATTATAAATCCGAAGACCTACCGCTGTCCCACCGGGGAATATATTTTTTTACATAGTCCAACAGGACAGGAAAATATGTTCGAAAACAAAAATCGTTACTATACAACTATTAAATGATGCATAATCCACACACAAGCTTTCAGACAGTTCAGTGGCTAAAATCACACAGTTGAGCGTAGAAGTTTAAATAAAGTTCAATTATATATATAGATTTGTTCGTTTGTAATCAAGCACAAAACTACACAATGGGGTATCTGTGCTCACAAGTATCGAACCCACTTTCTAGTAGTATCAGTTCGCTGGGTAACTGTAGAGCGAGTAACGGTTGAGTAGCTGTTTGTTGATTGTTTAATCTAGACTTTATTTGAAGGTTAGAAGCGTCTCGTACACCCAGAGAATAGCCTCGTTTTACCGATTACTTTGAAAGTACTGTTTCATAATGTTTGAACAATCACTTGTTAACAGCTAATACATTTTTACTTAAGACTAGTGTAATTAAACATTCACACTGAACTGTATAATCCTGTTGGATAGTTTTTTCTGTCGTGCCGAGGAAAGACTTTAATCAACTCTCACAACTATTAATTACTTTACCGGCACTGAGTGTAAAATTAACTAGCTCGAAGTTTAATAAATAAATAATTTCTTTAATTGTTACAAAATTACTACACAGTATTTTAATTTATGTGACTGTCAAAAATAATAAAACTTAATCATATTGTTGAAACATTGTATAACTTTCTTTTTTACCAAAACAAATCAAGTATTTATTGAAACACACACACGTAAGATAATTATTTGTTAGTATTATTTATTGAAACACACATACACATGTAAGATAATTATTTGTTAGTATTATTTATTACATGTGTATGTGTTTTCCAATAAATAATACTAACAAATAATTATCTTACATGTGTGTTTCAATAAATAATATTAACAAATAATTATCTTACATGTGTGTTTCAATCAATAATAATCACAAATAATTATCTTACATGTGTATGTGTGTTTCAATAAATAATACTAACAAATAATTATCTTACATGTGTGTTTTCCAATAAATAATACTAACAAATAATTATCTTACATGTGTGTTTTCCAATAAATAATACTAACAAATAATTATCTTACATGTGTGTTTTCCAATAAATAATACTAACAAATAATTATCTTACATGTGTATGTGTGTTTCAATAAATAATACTAACAAATAATTATCTTTCGTGTGTGTTTTCCAATAAATAATACTAACAAATAATTATCTTACGTGTGTGTTTTCCAAAATAATTATTTGTTAGTATTATTTATTGGAAAACATACATGTAAGATAATTATTTGTTAATATTATTCTAGTGGCTCCGTATGAAGCACGAGGGTTAAAATTGTTAAATTTTGGGGTTCGATCCCTGTAATGGGCACTTACAACAATAGTTCATTGAGCAGCTATGCGATTTACAATAAATAACAACTAAAAATTTAAATGAATTATTGGTTAATTAGCAAATCCCCCCCCCCCCCCTCCTTAGTGGCTTGGCGGTAATTCCGCGGGGTTACGACATTAAAAGTCGTGTTGTATATTCTAAGCCCATTCTGTAGCTTTTTGTTTAACAACAGCCAACCAAAAACAAGCTCCCCAGTGATATAGCGGTATGTCTGCAGACCTACAACGCCAGAAACCGGGCTTCGGTACCCGTGGTGGTCAGAGCACAGATAACCCGCTTTGTGCTTAACTACAAACAAAACTTCAAACTACTGTTTATTAAACTGAAAACTTTGTGATGGAACTGCTACATTTCTTTTATTTAGGAAACACCTGAAGATAAATACTCTAGCTGGTTTTCAACTTAAAGTCTCGATAGATGCTTTTCACGTATTACTCAGTATGTTTTCAACTTAAAGTCTCGATAGATGCTTTTCACGTATCACTCACAATGTTTTCAACTTAAAGTCTCGATAGATGCTTTTCACGTATCACTCAGTATGTTTTCAACTTAAAGTCTCGATAGATGCTGAATATATCCCTTCCGGTTCTTAAAGGGATAATAATTATTAATAAAAGGCAAAGTATAATTATATATTATCAAAGGGAATGGACTTGTTGGTCAGGACGCAGGTTCGAACCCCCGTTACCGAACATGCTCGCCCTTTTAACCTTTGGGACGTTATAATGTTACAGCCAATCCAACTATGCGTTGGGTAAAAGAGTAACCCAAGATGTGTTGATAAGCCTTGAATAGACGAAACTGCAATCCACAGTAGAGGGTACAGCCAATCAAAGAATACATTAGTTCTCTACGTCACAGATTCTCTTTTCATTTCCCCTCTGGTGAAAAGGGAAAGAAACCTGTAACATTAGGGTGTCACCAAAACCACTTTTTTTAATGTCCTAATTTTCGGGCCTAATGTCATTATGCCGATCGTAACTAAGCTATTAACACTAAAATCGACGTAATTGAAGAAAAAAAATCCATTGCCTCGACAACCTTTTTCTTCAAGGAAAAATTTTTTTTTATTTTTTAGGTTTTTTCGGATTTACTTTTCAAGGTCTAAATTTAATTAAAAGACGCATGTGATGGCTCAAAATTTTAATTACGCACTAAATAATATTATATAACTTTAAACACTGATAAAGTTTGCTATAATGTACCTACTTTCCTGTCTTTTTATAGAATTTGAAAATTATTATCTAGATAAGTTTGTTGAATATATCAAACGATATATGAACTATAAGTATTGAAAATAACCAGGAATAAACAAAGGAACATTTATAATAGCGATTTCAGAGCTTACAGAAATATAATGCTAAAATGATTATGAAAATATCAAATGATTTCAATCAACTAAGTCCAAAAGATCATTTAAAGGGAGAAATATGGTCTAAACGTGTGATGATGAAGAAAACTTATTCATATAAGTATTTATTCAGTGATAGAGACTCTTTCGAGCAACCTGGGTGAAGTTTACGGAGTTGCTGTCTATTATTGGTTAAAATATTTATATGGTCGTTTATAAGATGGATGTCTCGTTCCACTGTATCATTAGTTACTGAAAGCTCTCTAACCCGTTGTTTTCTTGCTATGATGATGGTCTTTCATTGAGCCAGGTTACAAAATCATTCAACACAGAGTCAAATAAAAACCATGAAGAAGGATCTATAAGTGACTCAAGAGTTATCCCTTCAATACCCTGTTGAGATTCTTTTGGTTTTATAAGGATTGTTTTTCCTTTTTAGTAAATTCTTGTTTCGTCTTTAAAATCACACAATCTCAAAGCCACTTTCTCTTTTGCTTCTGAGCTCACTTTGTCTGAAAAAAGACAGGAGGAAACTATCTTTGGAGAAAAATACCAAGTATGGTTTTTATAGCTTTATCCCCAATCTCTCAGTGGGACAGCAAAATATGCTGTGATGCAGAAGGCAAGTTTGAAGATCGATTGGCAGTTCTTGTATCAGGGGGCTCGGAAGGAAAACTTCTTGCTTGTCAAGAAATATAAGATAGCGCAAAACAATCACAAGCAGTAGAATGTTTACGTATACTGAGAGGATGGAACTTTTGTGACAAAACTGTTGACAAAAGATGGTGTTCCGTACTATTATTCCATCACTGGAAAGTAAGATCAAACTTGAGATGAGACTCTTTATGAAAGATATCACATGCAAAATGGCCTTCTTATGATTGAAACTGGACCCTTTTACACCAGATCAAACCCTTTACATGAATAGTCAAAACACAAAAAATATTCCAAAATTAGCACAACCCAAACCTTTCAATTAAATGACAAAATCAAAGCACAGCAACGTAAATTTCTTTCACTTTAACACGTTAAGCATCACCTAATCTTTTTTTTTTACACTAAATCAAAAACCTACCATAAAATAAAGTTTTCGTAGGAATGAAAACAGAAAATGAAAACCTTTTCAAATCACCATGAGAAAGTAAAACTCTCCTTCTCAAGTCACGATGGAAGTGTCACCACAGCAAGCACTCTTCTTTGTTGTAGAAGACCCAAGGTTTGATCGATGTGGCATCTATCTCCTGGCAATGCTACTTATACTGGGTTATGCTTTAACATGAGCCGGCTAGTGATTGTCATAGGTGGCTTTGTCATGAGCTCCACCCCCAAATAATCTGTGGATTTTTAGTGGGGCTGTTTGACAGGTGGTGCCTTGACAATTGCCAAGTCAGAGGCCTCTCATTTCGTCTGGATGATGGTCAGTTCTGCTGTTGACATCAAACTTCATCCAAAGCCCCAGGTGATGGTAAAGAAGGCAATCCGTGAGTCATTTGGCTTCAACATCACTGATGTCTGGTACTGTTCAGGAATACCTTCCAGAGAATCTGGTAAAGAAGGCAATCCGCGAGTCATTTGGCTTCAACATCACTGATGTCTGGTACTGTTCAGGAATACC